TATATATGTATATATATATATATGTATATATATAAATCAAACAGGAGAACGATCTTCGATGAAGCGAAAAAATAAAACGAGAAAATTCACATCAGAAAACAGTAACACAGCGGAACACATAGATTTATGTGAATCGACAAATTGTCTATGTCCATGGAGTTGCAGAGGATTTTACTACTTGGAAAATTTACATCATTCGATCATCTTGACTTACAAGAGGAATCTCTCACTTCGTTGCTCTCTCTTCTTCTCTCTCTACACCGAGATACGCCGAAGAAATTCTATACCGGAAGAAACCGAAGAAGATAAACTTACAAGAAAAATAAATCAAATTTCTCTTTTGCCACAAACCACCAAGAAGAAGCCAACTTCTGCCACATTTCTCTTTTGCCACAAACCACCAAGAAGAAGCCAAGGGAGAAAAAGTCTTTTTCTTTCTTTTTTTCTTCTGCAGCAAGAAACTACTTCTTGCACTTCTCTTCCTCTATCCCGAGGAAGCTCGAAAAACTCTTCCTCTATCTCGAGAAAGCCCGAAAAAGAACTCAAAAGTGGCTAAGCTCAATCTGAAGGAGAACCGTGCTCTTCTTCCTTTCCTTCGAACCGCATACACCCGCCAGTTGTCTGTCTATTCACGCAGAAGCAGGAAATGGTCGTGACCTTTCGCGATCAAACAGGAGGCTGGATCGAGATCGGGATCGGACTCCAACGCTAACAATAAACTTCTCTGTTCTCCTTACCCCGAGATGTTCCCCTGCGGTGCTTAGTGCGAATCACGATTAGCAATGTGTATGCTTCGCTGAACTAAACACCGAAACCAGATGTCATGAAGGGTGAAGATTGAGAAGAATTACAACGAGGGGCGGCAACCATACGTTTATGTCTGACAGATGAGGTTATGTATCACGTGATGAATTTGAAATCTCCATGAGAGGTATGTAAGAAATTAGAATCTCAATTTATGGCTAAATCTCTGATGAATAAATTGTATCTGAAGCAAAAACTGTATGGGTTGAAGATGCAAGAAGGTTCTGGTTCTCAAGAAGGTTCTGATCGGCGCAGCATGTTAATGACTTCAATCAAATAATCACAGATTTATCACGTCTTGATGTGGTATTGAAGATGAAGACCAAGTAATTATTTTATTGTGTTTATTATTTTTTTCCTATGAACACATGGTGACTACTCTTACATGTTAGAAAGAAACTATCAAAATTGATGAAATTACTGCAGCATTGTTGGCTCACAACCAGCGGATGCAAAATGCATGGGAAAACTCTCATAGCGGCAATTTATATGTTAAGGGTAAGCAAGATCGTAGAAGGAAGAAAGAGAATGAGGGTTTTGGAAGGCGAAATTCCAGATCAAAGTCCAAAGACAAAAAGACAATTCATTGTTACAAGTGCAATGAGTCAGGTCATATTAAGAGAGATTGTCCAAAGCTCAAGAAACTGACTGGGAAGAAAGGTGATGCATCATTGAAGCTTTTTATTTTAATCTCCATCTTGACAAATATCCAGCCCCTTAAGAGAAATAAAAATATCACGGAGTTTCTTACACCGAAGTGGGTTAGACAACCATGTCGTCTAACAACTGCAAACATTCAACAAGTTCAAGTAATGCAATAATTTGTTGATAGTACCGGACTTGATCAACATATCTGCTGCAATTCTGTTGTGATTCGTGAATCAAAATTTTCACACGAAACACTTTTCCTGTTCGCGTCAACACCTCGGCTAAACTGTTGTCCCGTGAGTGAAACCCTTCGTCTGTTCGCAAAACACCTCGTGCCGCTGGCGAAATATCTTCGTGAAACCACTATTCTTGAATAGCCGCGTCTGCTAGCTTCGTCTGCACCCTACAGAACTCCACCTGGCTGTTACAAAAGAAGCCTTTTACCTCTGCCTGTTGCTTGAACTAGCGACGCTGCCTCTACAGCGAACTTCCGAAACAGAACTCGTCGAACTGTAGCAGCACTTGTTCGCTCCCGAGAGCCCGTCTGCCTTGCGAACAATCCGCTGAACTCCTCTATTCTCAAAAAGATGCTTCTGTTCACGGTAATTGCACACAAACTCCTCTGCTCTCTATGAAACTAGACTGTCGCATGAACTACTTGCAAACCGCTCCTTCACAAACTTCCCTGGCCGGAACTCCTTCCTGCAAGCAGCCGCGAACTGCTGTGAAGGTTAACGAACTCCTCCACAAAACTCTTAGCGCCTATTCGCGAAACCGTCTCCTCTGCAAACTCCGATCGAATTCACGAAGCTAGAAAAAACTCTAAAGCTTTGGTCGCCGAACCCTAGCCTTTGAACTCCTCTTTCCTTTCCCTGGGCTGCCTAAATTTTTCATCCGTGCACTAAAATCTCGCTCTGATACCACTTGTTGGATATATGCATTTCTCCTAGGGGACTGGATATTCGCCAAAGTGGAGATTTGTTAGGTATGGCTCATATACCACAATTTGGAATCTCTTGGAGTGAAGAGATGTGTCTCTTGATTGAAGATGTGCGTCTCCTGGAATGAAAAGAAGCGTCTCTTGGAATTTAGTGGGTTGGGGGGAGCGAGGGAGGGCTGATAATTTTGTCTGTGGGTTTTTTTATCTATATATATGATGTGTAACCCTATGTGTGTGTAACTTGACTCCTCTAAAATAGTTAATTCGCCGCTCTGCTCACGAGGACGTAGACATGTTTGTCAAACCTCTTAAATCTCTGTGTTCTTCTGGATTTGTGTCGATTCTTGTTTTTTTTCACCCTTAATTTCTAAACAGATTGTAGATAAGACATTACCCAGAGCTTTCACCCCCATTTAGCAATGACTTTGTTAATACAGGGTTCGGTTTCCCATAGGTGCAAACCCATTTGGTTAATTACCCCTCCCCATAATGGGACGACACTTTCGATTAAGGCTAGTCATTGATAATTGAAAATTAAACATATAATAGCAACATAATTAGGATTTAAACTATAGAATTCATCACTTAAAGCTTAAAACGAATAGTGGGAGAATGAAGACGAAACCTGATAAAGATCCCCATGGTTCCGTTATCTGGGTCGTCGCGGTCTCTGATCTACTAAATCAGAGGATGTAGTCGACCCAACCTGACAAAAGGATTCTTTTCAATACTCATGGATTGCGTAATCCAAGAGATCCTTATAAATCTGGGGTAAATATTTGTCTATGGGGACAAATTGAAATCGACCTTAACTACCATGAGGCTTTGTAAGAATCAATTGTACACTTATGATTTACAACTCAAATATTATAACGTAGTTGGGGAACATACGAACTGCTGTCGTGATCGTAATATAATGACGTCATTTGACAGCAACCAACACGGTCAAAGGGCTTCGGTCGTAACTGTTGTTTTGTAGTGTCATTTGGCGGCAAAATCACGTGGACAGAAGACTCAGATCATGTCCTTATCGACATGTAATTACTTTGATTGTGAATATATTAATACATTTGATATGACATTTGCTCTTTGTGAGCTGAATTAAATCAGAAGTTTCTCATCCTTGATAAACTAATTTTTTTTAACTTTTAGTGATTAAATTTTAGCTCTAATATTTGATTCGTTACTTTGAAAAGCTTGATTTTAAAGATTAATCCATCCAGTTGAAATTTTCGATCAATACGACCATATCAATAGGTTCAGTGAGGTCGATCAAACGAGCAAATGAAACATATCAATCGACTCGATCAGGTCGGTTCGGTCGATCGTTTGAATCGACAAAAGAGTCAATCTTGTCGAAATTCCTGGTGTCGATGAGATAAGATCTATCTGATCGGGCTGGTGCGGTCGATCAGTCGGATCGCCAAAAGAAGTTCGTCGTGTCGATCGGGATGGTGGGGTCAATCAAACAAACAAATGAAACGGGATGATTGATTTAATCGGGCAAGTGCAGTCGATCAGTCGGATCGACAAAAGATAGCCGATCATCTCGATCGAGCCGATAAGACGACCTGACAGGGCGACATGCAAAATTGATAGTTTTAATGTATATTTAAAAAAAAAAAAAACATATCACACATAATGCTGATGCGAATACATGCACATGACAAAGAGATACAATCATCCTTAGCAGCAAAGCTGGCTCAACCTAACAACCTTATGGTCACCCTAAGGGTGGTTAATGAGGCAAAGCTGTCGTCACTGCGAAGCGATGCGCACCCGCTTCCATTTGCCCGACACTAAGAAATTTCATAAGGACAGTCTTCGCGGTGAAGGGAACATCTAAATCGTGAAATTTCATTCTCTAAGCCCAAAGAGCAAATTTCGCTCCCCTTCTTTGTGGAAACAAAATCGCCGGCGTAAACACGGGGTTGAGACGACCCCAGACATTGAGATTTTGTCCTAGAAATGAAAAGGTTAGGTTTGCTCTTGGATTCGTGATGGGATCGTAGAAGCTCCTAAGCCATGGGGGTTTCCACTAGGAATACCAAGAATCCTAACCTAGATTCTCTAACATCCAGACCTAATGGCCCTAATGAAAGGAAGATCAAAAGCTTAAGGAATCTCACCACCGTGGTGTTCGATCAAAGTCCAACTTTCATTCTGAAAGAAGCTTTCGTAGTGGTAGGAGAGATGATGATGCCAGGTTCTGACAAAGTTCCGAGCTCCAAAGAAGTTCTAGCAAAGCTTCGGTGATACTTCCTCGAGCTATGATGAAGCTCTCCTTTAGCGCAGGAGAGAAGACACCTCGCTCCTTCAGTAGCCAAGTTTCTCTTCAAGAAGGACTCCTCACACACTTAAATGAAGTGGTGGAGGAAGAGGAAGAGGAAGAGAAGAAGAAATCTTGGTGGAAGAAGAAAAGGAAGAAGAAGAAGTAGGGGCTCTTGGAAGCAAACCCCTTCTCTCAGGCTTCCCTAGTGTTCTCCACGCCAAAGTCTACAAGAAATCCTTTCAACACCAAGGAAGAGGACCACTATAGCTTTCACCACCTGGAGAAGAAGAACTCCCCAAGGAGAAGCCATAGCCATAATGGAGGAGAATTAGGGAGAAGACTTAGCTACCTTCTCTCTTCCATAGGCTTGCATGTAGCCCCCTTTCTCCAAGCCTCCTAAGTGTCCAAAAAGTGGAAACATGGCCACTCCAACTTTTTCCCCATCGATTATTCCCTAAGTATCCCCTTAAAAATGCTCTTTAGCTGCTTGAAAGGTGATTCCTGACGAGGTTTGATGGAGATGCCAAGGAGAAAAGGGGACCAAAAATTTGACCTGGCATTGGGTGCATGGAGCCTACTTTCCAGGGGCTTGGGAAAGGCTGCATAAAAGGGGTTTTGGGTGTCTAGGCCCCCAGTAGGCTAGCGCCTACGTATTGTGCTCTCGGTTTGGAGGCTTCAGAGGGCAATCCTGGCACCTAGGCGCCAGGAGGCTGGAGCCTACTTGTTAAGATCTTGAGTTTTGAGCTCCTTAGAGGTTGTTTTAGGCATCGGGGTTGGCGCCTAGGCGCCAGTTTGACCCTGAAAACTCCATTTTCATAAAAAAAAACGTTCAGTAGAGGATTTTCTTGATTTGAAAACCATGGGGGACCAAATAAAACTGAAATATGGTCCCATGACTCAAAAAATGAGAATTTTTACTGACCTTTTTTCAAGGAGATTCGTTGCTGACGATCGCCCCAAACCACAACATAGTTACGACGTTCTAAACTCTAATCTTCCCGAAAATGCCTACGGGAAGCTTCGATGAGTTCCTTTGACCACGGGAGACTTCATATGGATATAACATGTTCTTTAAACGTCGGAAGGGATGTCGAATACGTTTCATATCCTGAGTAAGCTCGTTCAACCGTTAATTCTTCCGGGTAAGGTCGAATCATCGCAGTCCCTAGTTTCATGCCCTGAATACTTACCATAATGTCTCAAATGGGTGTCTTAAGTTGCGATATATTGCAAGTGAGCAGATAATCGTCTCGAGCTAGTCAAGTGGACACCCTACACACGTGACATCAAAAATTAATGTCATAAAAGACCCCCAACAAGTGTGATGTGCCATTAAGACAGTGCATTTTTTGGAAGTAGCTCAATTTTTTATTGAGCCAAGGTCGTAGTGGCATGACCCGAAGGGTGGTCCATAGGTCGTAGAGGCATGACCGCAAAGGTAGGTCCAGATACCATAGAGGCATGACCTAAAAAGCGGATCCAGAGGCCATATAAGCATAACCCGGGGTGGACGAAGTGAAAAGCTTCAAATAACCGAAACAGTAAGAAGAAATGTTGAGGCACTTATATTCTGCCTTAAGGGGTACGTGAGACAGGAAGGTTAGATTATCTCATATTATCTGAGTCATCTGATTTGTCTCATCGTAAGAAACTAACCAAGCATCAATTGTGGTTCCCGTCAAAGCGAAACACCCATATTTTAGTCAGAAGGCTGAGAAGCCCGATGAATTTTGACTAAAATCGTGACTAGTCCAGTGACTAAATAATATAACTAGTAGAGAAGGACCGGTTATCTCTTGTGACTCTGGTCATCTATTTACAGGTTGAGGGGGAATGTTGAAGGACTCACATCCAACTTGAATGTTGCAGGAAGTAATCGTATCAGGAGGGAAAATGCTAAATCCGATCTTGAAATCCGACCAAGGTATAAGGCCCATAAAACCTTAGATACCTGCTACAATAAGGCAAAATGCCAAAGAGGCATATATTTGACCTTAAGGGGTACAAAAGATAAGAAGGTTGGATTACCTCCTATAATCCAAGTCATCTGATATGTCTCCTCGTAAGAAACCGACCAAGCATGAGCTATGGTTCCCATTGAGTGAAGTACCCATCACAACAACCAGGTGGCCAGAAAGACCAGAGTGTTCTGATTGAAGTGGAAACTAAGGACTTTAATAGTGTAGTTAATCGAGAAGGCTTAATTATCTCATATGATTCAAGTCATCTATCGTGCTCTCATAAATGAACCAACTAGAACGTCATATGGTCCGGAAGGCACCAAAATAGGTGGTGTTAAAGCCAAAGATGTCAAATGGTGAGTTGTTCTCGTGACAGAGCCAACCAAAAGGGCCATAAAGCTCGAGAAACATCGAACGCTAGATGAACAAAGCAGTATAGAAAACTGAGACACATTGGTAAGAACAAGCTAGGCAATTCTTATCGCATAACATCATAGTATTGTCGAATATTAAGATATTGTGACTAGCACAAATTAGTTAGATGTCTAAGGTGGTCCAACTAATAGGCATGTTTTTGGACAGGGTGATGAGATTCAACAAAGTCAAAAAATGGGGGAAGAGTCGAATAACCCTCAACATGAGGGGTGCTTCTTTGTACACCAACAAGAAGACTCCCGTTGGGAATTTTTCGGGGGCATGAAGATATCCCGCGTATGAATGGATTAGCTAAGCAAATAAAAGGCTTGAATTGATGTGACATACCATTTAACGTGGTGAACAGAGTTAGCGGAGTCGACCAAAATACTGAAGAAGTATTAAAAGAGTTTGATGTCTGAGACGGTCCAATCTCAGGGTGCTTTTATAAAATTTAGTGCAACAACCTCACTGCAGGTTTCCTCAAGAATGAGTAGAACATTTCTCATCCGATCGGGTATCGAAAACCCTATTAGGCGTGGATCAGTTATGTGAGTGAGAGTTCTAATTGATACAACATATCTACTGGCAAAGCAGTGGAGTACCCAAGTCAGTCATAATCGCTGAAATGGGTTGGGTGGCCTGAGTGGCCCGTCCCATGGAGGAATTTAACAAGAAGGTAACTCCTGTTGGTATCACAAGGTAATCGAACCCGGGGGTGGGATGAACACACCGGTTCATCTTTGAAGTGCTTCTGCTAGCTTTGACGAAGCGACCCTCATCGGGGATTCCTCTAAGGCTAATAGGGTAGTCCTTGTTCGAGGGACATTGGGACAGCCCAACCTGTAGAAGGGACTTTTGTCACACACCTAACAAGGTGACCCCACTAGGGATTTATTTCGGGTATGAAGGTATCCCGCTTAAGAATGGACCAGCTAGGCAAATTGAATGTCGCGGCCAATTAAACATGAGAAGTTGATACTGCGACCGCAAAGGTCTCTGTTACCACGATCTCGTTGCTGGTTTCTGGAGGGAGTAAGGCATTCGGCTTTGGAATTGTATGTGGCCACCAAGAAAATTGGGTATGAGAAATTGCGATGCAGAGAAAGACGAGCAAAAAAGGAGCGGTGGAGAGATTAATATTTCGATTAGGAGGGGAATGATAGGAAAACAGTCCCTTGAGTAAGTTAAGGGAGATGCCCCATTTACTTGGAATAGAAGCGCGAACACTTAATTGGCATGAGAGTGTGAGCAAATAACTTAATATTAATTAAATTTAATTAAATCTAATTAATAACATTATTTATTTTTAATACTTCTTTTTTTTAAGGCCAACCGGAAATTCAATTTTTGTTTAGGAGAGGGGACCAAAAGCCAACTCAATTATGTGGATCTATCAAGGGAACAGTACTTGCCATTAAACATTGTTTAACTATAGTATGAGTCGGCCTATATTAGTTCAAACAATTGAATTTGATAGCATTCATTAGTGCACGATCTAAATTATAAACTACATTAGGCACATTGGTGGTCAGATTTGTTTTAAACTCATTAACTTAAGCTTTTATGTGTAGGCCATGTCAAGCCAATTCGTGTATGGCTCGAAATCCACTCAAAAAATATCGTTCCAAAGTTTTAGCTTATAGCTTGGCTTATTTATTTCGATACAATCTCAATCCGAGATAAAATTCAAATCAACTTTCAAGCGATTAACAATCTCCAAGCTAAATTCATAGCTCTCCACTCAATTCAATTCCTATGCATTTACATACCTATCATCTAAAATTCAATTTTTGCATACATGCCACTTATCTACACATGAAAACCTGCATTTCACTTTTTTAAAATTTAAAATCATGAAATTTTTTATGTGATATGAAAATTAAGGGCAATATAAATGTAAAATGCCAACTTTAGGTATTACATATGTGAATACATAGGAACTGAATGGTATGCATGTAATTTATGAGTTTTGTAGTATCTGTGCGAATCTGACATTATCTTCTTCCTTTTCAACAGTTCTCCTACTGGGGAGCAGGGTAGCACAATCAGCAGCTTCCATCTCCGAATCTGAAGAAGCTCGTGCATGGCTCATACTTGCCTGGGTCAGCACAGTAGCCGGAAACCTCTCCCTCCTCGGCTCCGCCGCTAATCTCATTGTCTGCGAGCAGGCTCGGAGGGCTCAGTTTTATGGCTATAATCTCTCCTTTCTCAGCCATTTAAAATTTGGACTCCCTTCCACCATTATCATTACTGCCATCGGCTTGCCTCTCATAAGAACTTACTGATCATTCTGCTATTCAATTCACTTAAAATAAAACATTTATTTACAAATTTACCCAGTTTGGTGTTTTATTTGACGTTTTAGTCTGATTTTAAATTTATTTAATGAATTAGAGACCCTTTAGCAGCATTCAAATTTGTAGAATTGGCACTTGTAATTTTCTCACCCTGGCTTTTGATTTATGTACCATTGATTTTCTGCTATAAGTGCTTGTTTGTATTATTGTATACGGTGAATGTTTGATGTGATCAATGTGGTAACCCATTTCAATCTGTGGGACAAGGGGTTTCTGTAATCATCAACCTATAGTAGATTTTTACAACTCGGTAAGGACTCATGGTTTTTTCTCTTTTTGAGATTTTCCAAGTAAAAACTTTTGGTGTCATTACTAGTTGTTCTCTTTCACTTTAATGTGTATTGAATCCTCGAATTTTCTAGCTCGCATCAATTGTGATATAAATGTAAAAAAAGTAATTCAAGTGATAGATATGTAAATACATAGAATTTATGTGGTATGAATATATAAACGCCCGATAAAATTTAAAATAAAACAGGGCACTAACGATTTTTCTCTTTTACGTCACTATCAATTGCTGCTATGTTGATAATTTATAAGTTAAGTGCCCTTATCAGAAAATGTTAATGCCAGCTAGCTTGCGCCAACTTCTATTCCACAACACTACTGATCGTCTGGGGCAAATCATCAAACACATAAGCGACAAAAAAGAGCGGATCTACTACCTACCTCCACGAAGCTGATCGATCCCCTTCCGCTGGACGCGTAGCGGCCGCACTAACTAAAAGCGAACATTCCAGCTTCTAAGAACAGCTTATAAATGGCTCCGGAGTACCCATTCTGTCATCAAATCACTCCACGGCTTCTGTGTGCTTATATGAAAGTAAAGTATGGCGGCAGGCGCAAGAGTTTTGGCAGTTGCATTTCTTTTGCTGATCAGCATTGAGCTAATTGCCGCTGGAAGAGCTGCCATCATGGGTGCCGCAGGGGGAGGTGGTTATGGGCGGGGTGGTGGGGGAGGGGGAGGAGAAGGTGGCGGGTCGGGATTTGGATCCGGTGTTGGTAATGGATACGGGCATGGATCCGGATTTGGATCTGGATATGGATCCGGAAGTGGGGGCGGCGGCGGTGGCGGTGGCGGTGGTGGAGGTGGTGGTGGTGGTGGTGAAGGAGGAGGTGGTGGGTATGGTCGTGGTGGCGGATTCGGATATGGATCTGGATATGGTAGCGGATCGGGTGGGGCAGACGGCGGCGGCGGCGGCGGCAGCGGTGGTGGGGGCGGTGGCGGAGGAGGATCTGGTGAGGGTTATGGGGGAGGATCTGGTTACGGGTCTGGTTATGGATCCGGGTATGGGGGTGGGCGAGGCTAGGGTTTTGGGGTTGGGATTTTAGTTGATTAGGCGTTGGTTTAGCAGAGAAGAAGCACTGCCTGCAGATTTGCTTGATTGCAATAATATAAATAGGAATAAAGCTGTGCTCCATGTGTATTGCATATACTATAAAACTATAAGATATAAATAAAGAGGTTGTACACAATTTTTTTTAAAAATAATATTTTATTTAGATATTAAAGTATATTTAAGAAATTATCAATTTGTGCTTTTAGCATCTAATATCATAAATTTATGAACATGTTCATTGAATTATATTTTTTTATTACTATTAAAGTACATAGAATTTGAAAGATGCTATCAAAGCAAGATTAAAAGTATGTTTGGAGCAACAATGTGGTGCGGGTAATGCACCGTATTTTAGGAAAAATTATTCCGTAAAAACACCGCATTCAGAGATGCATGCGGTGTACGATCTCCACCGTTGATCACAGCTTTCGGTGGGACTCACTTTTAATTTTTCTTTTAACAAAAAAAAAATCCCACCGAAAGAGGTGATCGATGGTGAAGATAGGACACCACATACATCTCTGCATGCGGTGTCTGCACGGAATAATTTTTCGTATTTTAGGGTGTTTGATAAAATTATATTTTGATGTTTTTTTTTTTAAAAAAAATTATGGTGGAAATTGAGTTTTGTAACATGTCAGAAGGTTGCAATCCAATCTTCCAAAAATAAAAATAAATCTAATAATCATCACAATTTTTTGAATAATAGTTTGTTCTGTGGTTGCTTCACAGATGTTTCTTCAAACAATTATAGCTGGCCTAAAGAAACGGTAAACAAAAATAAAAAATAAAAAAAATAAAACTCTCAAAGAAAGGAGCGATTTTTTTGCGTGACAACGACCACAATATACTCGATCGTGGTGTTTTTTTTCTCTCTATCGCGATCGAAAAATTACCGCCGTTGTCCGGACATAGCTCTGCAACAGGACAACGTATGCAAATGTTTTTCCAAAGAAAGAGGTGCATGTGTAATCTAAATAAAGAGCTGTAAGAGAATGAAGAGTCCAAGAGAAAAACAAGGTGGGCTCCCAAAGCCCAAATACAAGGGCCGCCCAAAAACAATTGTGTAGTCGTCCAAACAACTAGTTTAGTTAAAATATAAAATCCATTAATGTGTATCATGTAAAGAGCAGGAAATGGTCAAGTTGATTGAAATACACATTTTCATCAATAAGTCAAGTGGCATGTATGTAATAATTGAAGTGTTAGATATGTAAATACACGAGAACTAAGTGGTATTTATGTAAATCTTTCATTATATATATTTGGTACATTCTAAAAATATATTATTAATAAATAAATAAATTTTAAATAAATATGACTTAAAATAAAAAAAAAGTATCAATGACAATAAATTTAATAACATCAACTTTCAAAAATTATAGAGATTAAAAAATAATTTTAAGTTTATGATATAGAAAAAATAAGCAATAAATGCATCTATTGGATTCATTTTTGTCTTTTCTAGATACTGCCCCCTATTTTCAGAATTGTATTGGGCTTTCGCGGGCATAGCTCAGTCGTCCGAGCACGAAAGTCCAAAAAAAGTAAAAAAACAATCAGGCATCATGTCCTCGATGACCGCATGGAAAAATTATTGTATCAGGTGTCCAATAATGGGGTGTGACATGGCCCCCTGTTATTGGACATCTGATGCAGATTTACAATAGGTGTCCTGATGCAATAAGTTCTCGACCGGCATGGCAGCCCCACACAAGATAAGACTTGTATTGGAAACCAACCGCCAGCATTTACGGTGCCGCAGCGTCTGGATCTCTGGGCACTTTCTAAAATATCCCCAAATCAATTTGAGCAAGTTCTTAAACATGTGATCTAAGTACCATGACATGATATTCATCATGCAGAACTTGCTTGAGTTGGATTTGAGCTAGATGGAAGATCACAACTTCTTGGTTGGAGCTCTGTTGGCCTCATTTACCATAAGCTTGTCATATAGTCCTTTCATATATTCTCTTATTAAGCTCTTTTCTTTGATACTTTTCAAAAACTCGTGTGCACTCTATCAAACAAAGCCTTTTTTTTTTTTTTTTTTTGTTTAAGTAGCAAGAGCTTAATACTTATCCAACTTCACCAATAGAGCTATTCCTTTTTGCCCATTTTAGATTTCTAAACTGGTAGGAATACTCGCTTCCGAGGCTGGAACTTGTAGATCAATCCGTTGCTCGGACAATACTTGTAAAGCCCTTAGTTTAATATTCATCTTTCTCAAATTTTGCACTATATATAATATATATATATATAGATTGTTATGGACTCCATGGTGATACAATGAAATTATTAACTAGAATTTTACCAAGAATAAACAAGCTAATTTGTCCCCACTTAGCGGGATAAAAACTTGTTGTTTTTGTTGTTGTACACAAGCTAAGTCTGCACAGTTTAGCGATGGAAGAACTCCCACGCATGGATATTGTAACAATGAACTACTATATGTTTATTATGGTATGTGTACTTCAAAAGCAGCCAAAATTTATTTCAGAGCAATGAAATTCCAAAATGCATCAGATAACAAAGAAAAGAGGAGTGAATAATTCTATAATGCAAAACTTGATGATAGAAGTGATGTTTATACAAATTTCTTCTAAGAGAGACCACGAACTACACCTTTAATCTAATTTGGGTCAATTTGTGAAGAAAATGGATGGGATTTACTGTATTTAATATTCATGTCATCAATGAAATCCATTTTCATAATAAAACTCGGTTAACATAGAAAGGCAGGAGACATAAGCATAGAAGTGGTCTACAAAGTTACGGTCAGGAATCATACCAATTGAGCCTAGGAATCACAATAAAACTCAGTTAACTGCAAAATTCGATTTTTTTTATTCAGTTCATTCTTTAACAGAGCAGTATAATGGCCGCACATAAAGCAGGAAATGTAATAGATATTGAAAGCCGGAAGCATCAACCTCCTGATAAACGTTGCTGTGGGAGTTCTGCAAGCAGCAATTTTCTTTATTCCAATTATGTTCTTTGTTTTTCTTAAAAAACTATTTATCTAGTCTAGGAGATGTGTGCAAATCTTACAAAATGTGTGTTTTTGTTATATTGACCTGTACAGTTTATATTATGCTTGAATACATAAATTTTCATGGCCAACTATATTTTTGTTAATAGAGCTTCAAGATACACTTGTGCTTTTCTTTATCCAATCCTCTCTTTTACCTTGTTACTGATGAACTTGTGTCATATTTGTTGATCTCATATCATTTTTTTTTTCAAACTAAAATTAATACAAATTTTCGATGATTGTATCCTTGGACTTTGGAGGTAGATATAGCAATCCCATAAATTGTATGTTCTTAATTTTGTCCCATCCTGTTGCTGAAAAATTGACTGACATTTTATCTAAAGAAGTGCAAGAGTATAATTATCAATGGCTGAAATGAACAATTTCAGATTTGATCAAATCCTCAAGTCAACAAACTAGTGACTCGAGAGGTTTGCAAAGTCTTAATTTAACACAACTGAAAATGAACCAAGTAAACAAGGAATATGAGTTTTAAAAGGAGATATACCTCTTGATCTCTTGATCCCGGCATCATACCTTTCCTAAAAGGACATATCTTCCCTTTCCTATGTTCGTCACAGACACTGCTCCATCGCATGCTTTTTGTGTTTCAGGAATTTCTCTGTTAAATGACATTTATATTATCTATTGTTATATGTAAAATGTCTCATTTAACCTTTGTTGTGTTTACAATTTTGTCATGCCTCTTGATTATAAATACGATGGCTTATTAAGCTGTAATAATGTAAAAAAATAAATATATCTCAACTTATCTTTCTTCAGGCTTGTTATCTGGTCTATCTTTTCCCTTTTTCCTCTCTTTTCCCTTTTTCCTCTCCTTCTTCTTCTTCTCTTCTCTTCTGTTATCTTCACTTGATATCAGAGCCGTAACACCTCTTGCAAGGATGGACTCAACATTTTTCCATCTACACAAAAACATAGGCAAAATGCGGCACAATTCAACAAGATCAAGAAAATCTGCACTCCAACATCCATCAAAACGTTGCCACAATGCCTCCTACACAGGAAAATTATCTAGTTTGGAAAATACAGGTATCAAAACTACTTACAGTAAGCGAATTTGATTCTTTTCTTGATTGCAGCACCTCTCATCCACCAAGATTTATATCCGGTAAGACTGGTGCTCAAATTGAAAATAAAGACTAACTTCTATGGCAACTGATTGACAAAAACCTAGCCACTGCAATCTTTTCCACCACTTCCCCCTCCACTCCCTTATATCCTTCATCTCACCACCACCAAAAACAACAACTTACCGAGGTTCTGATCAAGTTCTTGTCAAAAACGGCCAGCAAACAAGCATCACACGTGTTGGTAAGAGAATATTTCCTACCGTGACAGTTAAGTTAACTCTCTCCCCCCGCCTATGTGCTCCCAAATTATGTCATAATCTCATAACTGTACAGAAACTCACTAAAGACAACAACTGTCAAATCATTTTCAATGCTAATCAATTTCAAATTCAGGATATGAAAACCAAGAAAGTACGTCTAACTGGAGCAATTGATCAAGGTTTATACCCTATCACTGCTCTTACTACCACCAAAGGGTCAAACATATGACACCACCAATTCGGACATCCGCACCATGATGTTCTTTCAATGATTGTTCACTCTCAACCTCACTTGAGCATTCCATTATTCAAATATATTTGCCATGAATATTTTCAGAACAAAAGTCATAAGCTACCTTCTCATGTAGTACAACTACTTATAAACTTTTAGAAATGATACATTCTGACATTTGGGGGCATTTTCCTCATCCTTCACTTGAAGGATATCCATATTATGTTACTTTTATCGATTCTTACTCTTTTTTTTGTTGGTGTATTCCGCTGAAATATAAATCTGAAACTGCCTCGTCTTTCATTTCTTTACATAACAAGATAAAAACTCACTTTAATACTAATATAAAATATATTAGAACTGACTGTGGAGATGAATAAATGTCAAATGAACTCAAAATACATTTACAAAATAATGGAGTTATATATCAGTGCAGCTGTCTCTACACACAAACAAAATGGTATTGCGGAGCGAAAACATCGACACTTAGTTGAGATAGCAAGAACAATGTTAAATACTGCGCACCTTCTTATTAAATTCTGGATGGATGCATTGTAAACAACAACCTACCTCCTAAACCGCATTCTCCACTAACACTCAGAAAGTATCACATTTTCAATTACTTTATAACACACCGCCTGAATATCAAAATCCCAAGACCTTTGGTTGTTTATGCTTTCCTAGACATAACATTCCACCACACATAAGTTTTCCACAAAGGCCCCATAATTCATCTTTTTAGGATATAAGTCACAACACAAAGACTATAGGTCTTTTGATATTCAGACACGAAAGCTTATTATGGCAAGGCATATTACTTTCAATGAATCTTCTTTTCCCTATAAACAGCCGGTTTCTCCGCTCTCTTTACACTGCAATGAAGCCCTGCCGAAACCTCAAACCAGGCCTTTGAGTCCTGAATGAATCGAAGTCGACTGATGACTTGGAATAATCGGAATATCTCCTCTTTTTATGGGAGACATGAAGCCAAGGGTACTCAAAGATAATCGGGACAACCAAAGTTTTGAAAAAAGAGATAACTGAATGACTGTAAGTTAATGATGATGGAAAAGAATAGTTTTTGCTTGAATGAGATGAGAATAAATTACTCAAATATGACAATGTAAACGAGGTGATACTTCTCAATGGCTCCATTAGCAACAGTGATGGGTCATTTATAACGATGTATGTGATGGATTATGAGCAGCACATCATTGCTGTAAGAAAAAATGCTGCGACATTTGCTTGTATTTTGTTGCCAGTTAAAAGCTCTCCCCCCAGTGTTATTTATAGCCAAGTTCTTGAGATTAGGAGCTTTACAGGTAATAAAACTAGGCGATGACATTTCATTTATAAGAAAGATCCTTAAATAAATACGAAGAAAAAAAAGAGAAAAAAAAATTAGATAAGTAGATAGAAATAGTTCATCATCAGTGATACAGTTATTCGTTATTACAATAAGCACACGCATAACATAACATGGCATAACTAAATAACAAGTACTTGCTTACTGATGGTAACAACATGAATAACACGACAACTCATAATTAAGCAAGGCAATATATATATATATAATTTTCATGTACATACATATATGTATATATATATATATACATATATGTATGTACATGAAAATTTGTTACCTCACCTCTCTTTGCTGCCTGAGTTTCGATTACCGGCGAGCAAAACATTGATGCTTAGTTTGCCAACTACTGCTCTGCTTACTACTACGCTCAAGGTTCGCACGTTTGGACTCCGACGATGATTCGGCCTCATGAAATGCATGGTGACGTGATCGGGGTATCGCCATTGTTGGGACTTGATGTTCACGGTTATAGCGCTGCATCAACTCTTGATGACAATTTTTTATTTCCAAAATTCGCAAGGAAGGAGGAAGTTCTGGTAATTCTCGGAGCTGAAGGACTTTCTTAATGCTAAGTAAATGAAGAGAAGAAAGGCTCGGAAGGCAAGAAGGCAGGCAATTTAATTCATCAAGATCTTCTAGCCATAGTGAACGCAAAGAGGGAGGAAGGACTGGCAATGATTTGAGGAGCACAATGCTTCTCAAGGATAGATGCTTTAAGAATGAGATGGCTGACAGAGAAGATGGCAGACACTGCAATGATTCGAGCTTTTTAAGATATAACTGCTCCATCGAGGGGGGGATGTTCGACAGAAGCTGAAGCTGAGGAACCTTTTCCACCCTTAGGACTTTAAGTGAAGAGAGGCTTTCCAAGGAAGAAGGGAGAGATTGCAGGGATTTTAACCTTCTAAAGTTCAGCACACAAAGGGATGCGCTAACTTGCAAAAACCACTGCTCTACCTCATTTGTAAAAGAAACCAACATATCATTATCCTCAATTGTCAGCTTTTCCAAGGAAGTGATACTTCTCAATGGCGCCATTAGCAACACGGATGGATCACTTATGGTGAGTTCATTGAGTATGAGCTTGAAATTCTCAGTGGTATCTCCTCTCAGATAGTTGAAATTTCCACAACTTTGAATTAAAATGCTGCGACAGTAGCCAGTATCTTGTAGCCAGTTAAAATCTTTCCACCCAATGTTCCGTACCTTTAATTGATTCAGCTTAGGGGGCAAATAGGGCAACTCCAGCAAATTTGGGCAGTCTTCTAGCCACAGTTCTGTTAAACAAGGAAAAAACCAGTCATCTTCTTCTGTCCCTGCTGCATCAAACCATTCCTCCAGTACTTCTAATTTTGAAATATGTAGCAACTGCAGTGATGGAAACACACAGACTTTACCATTCCCACAGAATTTATTATCAAGCCGCTTTGCTTTTGGCATGTTATGAAGGCACAGAGACTTGAGGTAGGGAAGCTGCCCAAAAGGGGGAAGAGTTTCCCACTCCAAACACTCTTCCAGTTGGATGTACTCTAGATTGAAGGTTAAATTGGTATCATACATCCACAATGCAGACCTTACACCCATGTATGCACGTATGGACAATCTCTTTAGATTTTGGTATGGTTGAAGATTTTCAAGCACATTCACATCTAAGTCAGGATCGATAATGTTCCGCAAACTTCCACTTCCCAAATTTAATTCATAATCATTATCACTACCCCAATCTAAGGATAAATCCGTAAGTTTTCTCTTCTCACATAATTTTCCAGTGCAAGCCTCTTCGGCATCCTTAACATTTCCAAGAAATTGTATTCTTAATCGGCGCAACTCGCTCATATGTTCCAGCTCCCCAATTTTATAACCATTCTCATTCTTAACAGTAAACCCACCAAGTTCTTGAAGAGATCTTAACTTTCCAATTCCAGAGATCTTAGAAAAGACATTTTGGGGCAATTGTAGGTAACGCAAGTTAGAAAGGTTGCTCATGTTAAATGGTAAGAAATCATCAAAAGATTCCCAATCTCTTTTGTAAATTATGAACTGCAAGTGATAAAGTTTGCTTAGAGATCTAGGCATCCGAGTGATCATAGTTTTATCAAAATTCAAGTATCGTAGATGTATCAAATTTTCAATAGCCTCAGGTATTGTTTGCACAAATGGAGAACTTATGAACAACAAACGAATCCCTTTCGTTGCTTTAAATACTTCAGGAAGTGCATCAGTAATATCTTGATAACATCCATGATAGATCAAAAAAAGCGAATGCAAATATTTAAATTCTTTGATCATTTTCAACATTTCTAAATTTTTAGTTGAAATAAATAAGTGTCGAATAGTTTTGGGAATTCTATAAGGTAACTCTTTATTCTCCATGAATCTAGAACATTCCTCTGCAGAAACAGACTGAACTAATTCATGTAGTAAATCATGCATCTTATAGTATGTTTCATATTTAGTTTGGAACTCATCAAATAAAGACTTTTTGACCAAATTATTAAAATACCTTCCTCCAATATCTTCCATAGTCTCTCCTGCAATGGGAGGAGCTTGAATGAAACCCAATGCAATCCACATTCGAACTAAATCATCTTTATCAAACTTATGATCATTTGGGAATATACTACAAAATGCGAAACAATTTTGAAGAGGCTTTGGGAGGACTGTATAACTCAATCTTAAGATGGACAGGATGTTATTTTGCCCTAGTTCCGATTCAGTGCTTCCAATATCACTATTTAAAATGCTCATCCAATAGCTCTCATTCAAGTTAGAATTCAGAACACCACCGATGATCTTCGTTGCCAATGGAGATCCTGAAAGCTTTTTAACTATCAAACTAGCAATGTATGTTAATTTTTTACAAGCACCATGATTCTCTACACCAGCAAACGCATGGGTGTTAAGTAGCTTCAAACACACATCTTCCTCCAAACCCTTTATTCTCAATGTTTCCTTCTTCTTTTCAGTAACCTTTGCAATCATCGATGCAACTGAATCCATTCGAGTAGTTATCACAATCTTACTTCCAGAACTTCCATTAGTCAGAGTGGAGAGCACATTCTCCCATTTACTCATATCTTCCTCCCAAATGTCATCCAGAACAAGCAAGAATCTCTTGGATCGCACGGCAGTTTCAAGACTCTCTTGAACAGCAGCAAGTGACTCCAAACGAGGCCTCTCTTTTTTAAGACATTCCAACATATCGACAATGACCTTCTTCGCATCAAAGTCGTTGGAAACACAAACCCACATATTCAGGTCAAATTCTTCTTTCACATCTTCAAAGATGTGTTGCAAGAGAGTTGTCTTGCCCATGCCACCATGACCCACTATAGATAGAAAAGAAATGTTTTTGTACAAAGTAGAGCTAGTAATATGAGTTGGATCTTCATTTGTTGGCTTCCTCAACCACTGCATAACAAAATCCTTATCCTTGCCTCGACCGATGAGATTAGTTTTAGGCAAGGATCCTGTTTCACGAGCTTTGCACAACTGAAGCTCCTGTTCCTGCTGCTCCTGCTTTGCGTTTACTAAGAGATGAAGGAAAGTACTGACCTCAGCTGAAACTTTATCAAGTTTCTTCACAACCTTCTCCAGTCTCTTCAAACTGGGATCCAACTTGAGAGCACGTTTGCCAATTTTCTTTAAGGAACTCATGGTGGAACGCACCTTCTGCTGCTTCTTGTTTCTGGTAAGCTGTTCTTTATGCTTCATGTACTCAAACTCGTCAAGAACATCAGCTGCTTCATCGATGGCATCTCGTAGTTGCCATATCCAGCTGTTGAGAGATGGGTTTCGATCTCTGATCTGTGCTTGGGTGGAAGCAGAGACGACAGCTTGGACTTTGGGGTGGTTCTCTCGCAGCCTTTCGAGCTCTTCCTTCACGCCCATCTGCCATCTATATTGATCTTGCAGGTAATCAAAGCAAGCGTTGATGATCTTGTCCATGACTGGGCCAACAATCCAGTCTGCCATGGCACCGATCGAGGTAGAAGCAGGAGGGAAGATGGTGGAAGAGAGGAAGAGAAGAAGAGGGTGGTCAAAGAAGACGCAAGTAGGCGGCTTTGCTATGAAGAATCTGTGGTGGTGGGCAGCGGAGGGGATGCGATAAGTAGCATGACAAGTTGGGAGTGATTTGGTTGTGTATTAATTCGTTGATTTGACGGGCATAAATAATTTAGTTTGAATATTTGCTAGAATAACTTTTTAAGGGGCATTTCCATGCATATCAGACATACTTTCACATTAATATATAGTCAGTGGAACAAATGCGAAGAAGAAATCTGAAGAAAAAAAAGTATTTATACATTGTCACAGTTTTATTTTTATTTTTATTCGCAAAAACGTTGATCCCAGCAAATATCAAAAAGTAAGAGCTGTATTGAAATTATTATGGAGCTTCAAATAAATAACTTAGAATTTTATTTTAATTTAGGTTCATTAAGAAAATATATTACAATTTTACAGTTAAAGATCAGAGAGAGATTGTGTGTGTTCAACACAAATCCCTTCAAAGTTCAAAGCTACTTCAGCCATCTGTGAGTACTACTTATGGTGGCCTGAGAAAGGTGAAAATTTTGAGTACGTTGTCCAGACATCTGGAAGCAGCAGCGTCCGGACAACGGTCAAGAAGTAATAATCATGGATTTTTTTTTTCTATCAATCACATGCACAAGCAAAATTTTTTCTTGAGGAAGAGGCCTTTGAGGCTGCTGGCCTCAAGTAACACCTGATGTCCTCTATAACATGAAAAAAGTGATTAGTTAAAGTAGCAATAACAACAAAAGGAAGTATGAGAGGCATAATGTATGCAGCAAAATTAAAAGGATGATGCAAAATCAAAACAACAAAAGTAGTGACACTTGTAAAAAAAAAAAATTTATTTATTTTTACCTCTTCGTCTCCTTGGCTTGAATCTTTCAACACATCAAAATCTGCATTTTGTTACCGCTGCATCTGTCTTGCATTATAGCATGCAACCATTAGCACAATAATTTATCTTCCTAGTATCTCTAACTTAGTTCATCTCCTCTCTTGCGATCCCTTGTCCGTCTCTTTCTTGTTCTAAGCTACAATCGGAGCCCTGTGCGATTGTCTTCGTTTTCTTCTGTCTTAAGTCCCGCATGTTTCTACTGTTTCTCTTTTGTTTATTCATGCAAGAATCCCTGACTTGCGCCAAAATTTCCCTCCGTGCGCCGTAAAGTCCTGTACACCCTCTTCTCCCTTTTCGAGACTGCACTGTCAAAGTCGATCTCCCTCCCTGTCGTCTCGTGTAATTGCCGAATCCTCCCTCTGTTTAAGTTGGTTTTCCCCTGTTCACACAAACAATTCTTCGCACATTGTCGTTCCTTAATGTTGAAAACATGTTGCTCCATTCCTTCCCCTCACAGCAAACGTATCGCTCGATTCAAGAATCGAAATCCTCTGTCGCCTCCTTAACCTGCTTCCCCCTGATCCGTACCTTCTATGCACAAATTCGTGACATATAGAGGCCTTAGATCCTCCCTGTGTCGCGATCCTTACTGTCGAGCCCGCTCTTCTCTAGCCCATTGCGTACGCGAAGCCTTCTCCCTGCCGCACCGCCCGTTTGTAGCCTAAACTGTGATCTTCCCTGTCTCGCATCGAAGCCAAGCAGCACAACCCGATTCACCTCTACTGCGATCGATTTCCAACGTCGAACTCCCAGCGCACGGGACGTCTTCTTCCCAGTTGCGACCCAGCCTTCCTTCTCCTCCTATCTGCGTCGAACATTTATCTGGCCTAGCCTGATTCTACCTTTGCTCTTGTGCGATTCTCCTATATTAAACCGAGAGTAGGGGTGTAAACGATCGTTTATATCTCAAAAAGTGCGTTAGTGTTTGTTTGCTTAGCGCCTAGAATACAAGTCGTTCACGAATAAAGAGTCATTTTGATAACTCTAATCACACTGTCATAAAATGTTAAGAATTGAGGCAAGATTTAAAACAACATTTGAATCTAATTTAATAATTTTTATTTTATTTTCTTCGTTAATACTTTTAATTGATTATAAATCTTTGTAGCCTTGTAGTCAATTAATTTTTTTAAAAATACTATTCATCATATATATATATATATATATAATTGATTAGTAGTATTTCGAGTCAAAACAAGTTGAACATGGACAAACAAATATTTATTCGTGTTGTTCTTATTCGACTCTTTAACCGAGCCGAACATGAGCTTCTTAACGACCGAACACAAGCTGTTCACGTACAACGAGCCGTTTTGACAGCTCTAACCGAGAGTTCACCTTATTCAAGCTCGATCATTATATCAGCCTAGCCTAATTATTGTTGCCCAACCCGAGCGCTCTTACCTGTCTAGTTTGTCTCATAACATCATGACTTAAATATTATTTTTGCTCATTTCCTCCAGACAACAGTGTCTTATGACACCGAAGACCAGCTGGGAAGGTGGGCATTCTATCATGCATCTAAACGGGGGTTGAATCCCGGAGGCTGCTAAAAATTTGGGTGAATTGGGCTTGTTATTAGTTTAAAATTTTAAGATGTTTGAGCTTATAAAATAGCTTAAAATTCAACTTATTTCAAAATTTAAAATGATTTGGACTCGAGCTTTTAAAATTTAGACTTTTAGGGGTTTCAAATGTCAAAGACCCAGGTTTTTAAATATTTAGGCTTTGTAGGTTTAAAATTTGTAGGTTTAAATGCCATCCCTTGACACCTAAGCAGTGGGGTTAAGCTCTCAAATGGCCAGCTAAGCTCCCCTTTGGCCATTTTCTATAAAATCCACCCCTCACGGCCATGGAGGGGGTGGTAAAAATTTTCTTACTGAGGCCTTCCAAACTCCCCTTAGAGCTTCCCTGAGGGACCCTTAGCACATCTCAATCCATTTTCCCCTCGCAATTCCACCACAGAGAGCCAATTTTGAGCTCAAACTCTTACCCGAAACCAGGACAAAATCCAATCTCCACCTACACAGCCCCAAATCCTAAATTGATTGGCTCTACACCTTCACAAGAGTGAAAGAAGCTAAAGCCCAATCAAATTACCTTTCCACAGAGCCTCTACCATAGCCCTCAACCAACACCTGAAATGGGCTGTGCTCGAATTCATACTTAGGCTTTACACCAGAGCCAGAGGCTTCATCCT